CCCCCTCATCCCCCCAGTCCCCCCTCTCCCCCCACCTGCTTGGTGACGGGCGCCTTCATCCCGGCCACCGAGGCCTCCTTGGCCAGCGAGGGCTGGCGGCTGCGGGGGGGCCCGTAGGTGGGCTCGGGGCTCGCCAGCAGGTTCCCGCTCGCCGGCCGCGGCTTGGGGGGCACCCCCAGCGCCGAGGGACCCCCCGAGCCTCCCCCTCCTCCTCCTCCTCCTCCTCCCCCCCCTCCCCCTCCGCTCCCTCCTCCTCCTCCCCCTTTCCCGGCGCGGCCCCCTCGGGGCGTGGGGGGCGGGGGTCCCCCGATGGTGATCTGGGGGGGGGCGAGGGTGTCCTGCAGCGAGAGCTGCCGCCGCCCGAAGTCGCCCCCCGGGCGCCCGAACTCGTCGCTGTAGCTGTGGCTGTGCGTGATGTGCTTGGCGGGGGGCGCGGGGGGGGCCGACAGCTCCTCGCTCTTGCTGTAGCCGTGCAGGGGAGGGGGCGGCGGCCCCGCCACCACCCCCCCGTAGTGGTGGCCCCCCCCGGGCCCCCCCCCGCCGTCCGCCGAGATGCCCCCCAGGCCCCCCCCTCCCACGCCCATCCCGCCCACCACGGCCTCGGGGCCGCGCAGGGGCCCGTCGGCGGCCAAGTGGAAGAGCGGGTTCTGGAAGGACAGGGGGACCCTCAGCTGCGGCCCCCCCGGCTCGGGGACCCCCAGGCGGGGGGGGGCGAGGCTGGAGGCGCTGCCCTGGGACAGGCGGCCCGGCCGGAGCCCCCCCGGCCCCCCGGCCCCGCCCGGCGCGGGGGGACCCCCGGCCAGGAGCTCGGCGGGCAGGCTGGGGATGCTGTCGACGCGCCCGTCCTGCAGGTCGAGCATGGAGACGCTCTTGCCGACCCCCAGGGCCCCCCCGCCGCGGCCCCCCTCGGGCTCGGTGAGGTCGGAGCTGCTGGTGCAGTAGGCGGGCGAGGAGCGGGCGAGCGGGGGCCGGCTCAGCACCAGCACCTCGGGGGGGCCCTTCTCCTGCGGCGGGGAGGGCAGGCGGGGAACGTCCATGGAGCTGTGCGGGGCGGGAGAGGGAAGGGGAGGGGAGGGGAAGGGATGGGAGTCAGCCCACAGCAGCCCGGTCACATCCAGCCCAGCCCGTCCCATCCCATCCCATCCTGGTCACATCCCAGCCCAGCCCAGTCACGTCCCAGCCCATCCATCCCATCCCAATCCATCCCATCCCATCCCGGTCACATCCCAGCCCAGCCCATCCCGTCCCATCCCATCCCAATCCATCCCATCCTATCATGGTCACATCCCAGCCCAGCCCAGTCACGTCCCAGCCCATCCCATCCCATCCCAACCCATCCCATCCCATCCCATCCCATCCTGGTCACATCCCAGCCCATCCCATCCCATCCATCCTGTCCCAACCCATCCTGGTCACATCCCAGCCCAGCCCAGTCATGTCCCATCCCGTCCCATCCCATCCCATCCCATCCCATCCCATCCCATCCCATCCCATCCCATCCCATCCCATCCCATCCCATCCCATCCCATCCCATCCCAGCCTGGTCACATCCCAGCCCAGCCCAGTCACGTCCCAGCCCATCCAGCCCATCCCGTCCCATCCTATCCCAACCCAACCCATTCCATCCCGGTCACATCCCAGCCCAGCCCAGTCACGTCCCAGACCATCCATCCCAGTTACATCCCAGCCCATCCCGTCCCATCCCATCCCAACTCATCCCATCCCAGCCTGGTCACATCCCAGCCCAGCCCAGTCACGTCCCGTCCCATCCCAACCCAATCCATCCCAACCCATCCATCCCAACCCATCCCATCCCATCCCGTCCCATCCCATCCTATCCCGGTCACATCCCAGCCCAGCCCAGTCACGTCCCAGCCCATCCATCCCAGTCACGTCCCGTCCCATCCTGTCCCATCCCATCCCATCCCGTCCCATCCCATCCCATCCCATCCCATCCCATCCCGTCCCATCCCATCCCATCCCATCCCATCCCATCCCATCCCATCCTCCTTCCCAGTCATGTTCCGTCCCATCCATTCCATCCCATTCCGATCCTGAGTCCAATCCCAATCCAATTCCCATCCCTGTCCCAATCCCATCCCAATCCCATCCTCATCCTCTCCCATCCCATCCCATCCCAGCCCAGCCCAATCCTGAGCCCAATCCCAATCCAATTCCCATCCCTGTCCCAATCCCATCCCATCCCAATCCCATCCTCATCCTCTCCCATCCCATCCCATCCCAATCCTGAGCCCAATCCCAATCCAATTCCCATCCCTGTCCCAATCCCATCCCATCCCAATCCCATCCTCATCCCATCCCATCCCATCCCAATCCTGAGCCCAATCCCGTTTCCATCCTGTCCCCATCTCGATCTTGATCTGGATCCCAATCCCAATCCCATCCCAACCCCAATCTCGATTCTGATCCCCATTTCGATCCCAATCCCATCCCAACCCCGTCCTGATCCCGATCCCAATCCCATCCCCATCCCATTCTCATCCCAAACCCAATCTCAACCCCAATCCCATCCCATCCCAATCCCCATCCCATCCCAATCCCAATCCCCATCCCAGCCCTCACCTGTTGAGCCCCCGCACCATGTACGACTGCAGATCCACCGAGCTGCGGGAGGGGGGGACAGGTGAGACACACCTGGACAGGTGAGACACACCTGGGGACACCTGGGACAGGTGAGACACACCTGGACAGGTGAGACACACCCGGGGACACCTGGGACAGGTGAGACACACCTGGGGACACCTGGACAGGTGAGACACACCTGGGACAGGTAAGACACACCTGGGGACACCTGGGGGCACCTGGGACAGGTGAGACACACCTGGACAGGTGAGACACACCTGGAGACACCTGGGACAGGTGAGACACACCTGGGACAGGTGAGACACACCTGGGGATACCTGGGACAGGTGAGACACACCTGAGACAGGTTAAGACACACCCGGGGACACCTGGGGTCACCTGGGACAGGTGAGACACACTTGGGGACACCTGGGACAGGTGAGACACACCTGAGACAGGTAAGACACACCTGGGGACACCTGGGAACACCTAGACAGGTGAGACACACCTGAGACAGGTAAGACACACCTGGGGACACCTGGGGACACCTGGGACAGGTGAGACACACCTGGGACAGGTGAGACACACCTGGAGACACCTGGGACAGGTGAGACACACCTGGAGACACCTGGGGACACCTGGGACAGGTGAGACACACCTGGACAGGTGAGACACACCCGGGGACACCTGGGACAGGTGAGACACACCTGGGACAGGTGAGACACACCCGGGGACACCTGGGACAGGTGAGACACACCTGGACAGGTGAGACACACCCGGGGACACCTGGGACAGGTGAGGCACACCTGGGACAGGTGAGACACACCCGGGGACACCTGGGACAGGTGAGACCCACCTGGGGATACCTGGGACAGGTGAGACACACCTGAGACAGGTTAAGACACACCCGGGGACACCTGGGGTCACCTGGGACAGGTGAGACACACTTGGGGACACCTGGGACAGGTGAGACACACCTGAGACAGGTAAGACACACCTGGGGACACCTGGGAACACCTGGGACAGGTGAGACACACTTGGGGACACCTGGGACAGGTGAGATCCATCTGGAGGCATCTGGGGTCACCTGGGACAGGTGAGACACACCTGGGGACACCTGGGGACACCTGGGACAGGTGAGACACACTTGGGGACACCTGGGACAGGTGAGATCCATCTGGAGGCATCTGGGGTCACCTGGGACAGGTGAGACACACCTGGGGACACCTGGGAACACCTAGACAGGTGAGATCCATCTGGGGACACCCAGGAACACCTGGGACAGGTAGGGACAGCAAAGGACATGGGGGGGGACAGGTGACACCCCAGGTGAGACCCAGGGCCACCAGGTGAGACCCAGGGCCACCAGGTGAGTCCCAGGTGAGATGAGGGGGGGGTTCACCTTGGGGACACGACAGGACACAGTGGGGGGGTCACGGGGTGGGACGTGCAGGTACCTGGGGACAGGTGGGGACATGGAGGATACATGGGGGGGACAGGTGACACCCCAGGTGAGACCCAGGGCCACCAGGTGAGTCCAAGGGCCACCAGGTGAGCCCAGGTGAATGAGGGGGGGTCACCTTGGGGACATGACAGGACACAACAAGGGGGTCACGGGGTGGGACGTGCAGGGACCCCGAGGACATGGGGGGCCACAGGTGAGTCCCAGGGCCACCAGGTGAGTCCAAGGGCCACCAGGTGAGACCCGGGGCCACCAGGTGAGCCCAGGTGAGATGGGGGGTTCACCTTGGGGACACGACAGGACACGGTGGGGGGGTCACGGGGTGGGACGCGCAGGTACCGCTCACACCCGGGGGGGGGGGTCCCCGCTGACCACCCGGGGGCTGGGCGGGGCCGGTCAGGTGCGCTCACCTGTTGAGGTCCCGCACGAGGTAGGGCTGCAGGTCGGCCGAGGGCCCGCGCAGGACCAGCCCCTTGGGGGGCAGCCGCTCGCCCTGGCTGGGCTGGCGCTGCAGGTGAGGGTTGCGCAGGGCCACGCTGATGTCCGTCAGCAGCCGCGGCAGCGGGCCCAGCTTCAGCAGCGCCTCCTGCGGGCACACGCACCTGAGCACACCTGGGCGCACCTGGGCACGCCGGAGTGCGCCTGGGCACGCCTGGGAAATCTTGGGCGCACCTGGAGAAACCTGGGCGCAAGTGGGTGTACCTGGGCACACCTGAGCACACCTGGGCGCACCTGGGCATGTGTGAGTGCACCTGGGCGCGCCTGGGAAATCTTGGGCGCACCTGGAAAAACCTGGGCGCAAGTGGGTGTACCTGGGCACACCTGGGCACACCTGGGCACGCCAGAGTGCACCTGGGCACGCCTGAGAAATCTTGGGCGCACCTGGAAAAACCTGGGCGCAAGTGGGTGTACCTGGGCACACCTGGGCACACCTGAGCACACCTGGGCATGTGTGAGTGCACCTGGGCGCGCCTGGGAAATCTTGGGCGCACCTGGAAAAACCTGGGCGCAAGTGAGTGTACCTGGGCACACCTGGGCACACCTGAGTGCACCTGGGAAAAACTGGGAGCACCTGAGTGCACGTGGGCACACCTGAGTGCACCTGGGCACACCTGGGAAAAACCTGGGTGCAACTGGGTGTATCTGAGCGCACCTGGGCACACCTGGGGACATCTGAGTGCACATGGGCACAACCTGGGTACACCTGGATGCACCTAAGTGTGCATAGGCACACCTGGGAAATCCTGGGTGCACCTGGGAAAAATTGGGCACACCTGGGTGCACCTCGGAACACCTGAGTGCACCTGAGTGCATCTGAGTGCACCTGGGCACACCTGGGATTCCACGTAGGGGGCACAGGTGACTGTGGCAGTGGACCCAGCTTCAGCAGCGCCTCCTGTGGGCACACACACCTGAGTGCACCCGGGCACACCTGGGCGCACCTGAGTGCACATGGGCACACCTGGGGACACTGGAAAAATCTGGGTGCACCTGGGAAACCCTGGGTGCAACTGGGTGTACCTGAACACACCTGGGCACACCTGGGTGCACCTGAGTGCACATGGGAACACCTGGGCACTCCTGGGCACACCTGAGTGCATCTGAGCACACCTGAGTGCACATGGGCACACCTGGGTGCACATGAGAACACCTGGGCGCACCTGGGCACACCTGGGCATACCTGAGTGTACCTGAGCACACCTGAGAGCACATGGGCACACCTGGGTGCACCTGAATGCATCTGGGCACACCTGAGTGCACAGGAGAACACCTGGGCGCACCTGGGCGCACCCGAGCGCACCTGGGCACACCTGGGAAAACCTGAGTGCACCTGGGCACACTTGGGTGCACCTGAATGCAACTGGGTACACCTGAGTGCACCTGAGCGCACCTGGGCATGCCTGGTTGCACCTGGGCACACCTGAGGACACCTGGGCATGCCTGGTTGCACCTGGGCACACCTGGGCAGGGGGGACCCCTGGGATGCCACAGGGGATGTCCCAGGTGACTGGGGCTGAGGGCCACGTCACACCTGGGCACACCTGGGCAGGTGCGACCCCGGGGGACGTCACATCTGGGAGCTCACCTGGGCAGGTGGGACCCCGGGGCCGTCACGTGCTGGGGCGCAGGGGGGTGGCACACCTGGGGAGGCAGGAGGGGGGTCACCGTCGCCACGGCCGCCCGCCAGGTGAGCCCCAGGTGAGGCTGTGGGTGCGCAGGTGAGGCCGTGGGTGCACAGGTGAGGCCGTGGGTGCCCAGGTGAGGTCGTGGGTGCACAGGTGACCCCCAGGTGAGGCCGTGGGTGCCCAGGTGAGGCCATGGGTGCCCAGGTGAGGCCGTGGGTGCCCAGGTGAGGCCGTGGGTGCACAGGTGAGGCCACGGGTGCCCAGGTGAGGCCGTGGGTGCCCAGGTGAAGCCGTGGGTGCACAGGTGACCCCCAGGAGACCCCCAGGTGAGGCTATGGGTGCCCAGGTGAGGCCGTGGGTGCCCAGGTGAGGTCGTGGGTGCCCAGGTGAAGCCATGGGTGCCCAGGTGAGGCCGCGGGTGCACAGGTGACCCCCAGGTGAGGCCGTGAGTGCCCAGGTGAGGCCGTGGGCGCCCAGGTGAGGCGGCGTGGGGGTGCCCAGGTGAGGTCATGGGCGCCCAGGTGAGGCCATGGGCGCCCAGGTGAGGCCGTGGGTGCCCAGGTGAGGCGGCGTGGGGGTGCCCAGGTGCGGTACCTTGCTGAGCTGGGACATGACCTCCCAGAGCAGCGCGTGCAGCGTGGAGAGCTCGCGGCCCAGGTCGATGTAGCCCTCGAAGCTGGTGCTGTTGGTGAGCGTGTCCAGGTTGGAGATCTCGTAGAGGAACTGCTGCATGCTGGCCCACTCCAGCTCCAGGAACTCGTTCATGAAGGCCATGTACTCCTCCTTGCTGCCGAACCTGCCGCCGGCATCACCAGCCATCAACACCATCATCATCATCATCATCATCATCGTGATCGTCGTCGTCATCATCGCCACCGTCCGTCATCGTTGTTACATCCATCATCATCGTCATCGTCATTGTCGTCACCCATCGTCATCGTGATCGTTGTGATCATCGTGAGGATGATCATCATCCATCATCATCATCCATCCATCCATCCATCTTCATCCATCCATCATCATTCATCCCTCATCGTCATCGTCATTGTCGTCACCCATCGTCATTGTGATCGTTGTGATCATCGTGAGGATGATCATCATCCATCATCATCATCCATCCATCCATCCATCTTCATCCATCCATCCATCCATCCATCATCCATCATCATCATCATCCATCTCCATCCATCCATCTTCATCCATCCATCATCCATCCATCATCATCATCCCTCCATCCATCTTCATCCATCATCCATCCATCCATCAACTCATCCATCCATCATCATCGTCATCCATCCATCCATCTTCATCCATCCATCATCATCATCCATCATCGTCATCGTCATTGTCGTCACCCATCGTCATCGTGATCGTTGTGATCATCGTGAGGATGATCATCATCCATCATCATCATCCATCCATCCATCCATCTTCATCCATCCATCCATCCATCATCCATCATCATCATCATCCATCTCCATCCATCCATCTTCATCCATCCATCATCCATCATCATCATCATCCCTCCATCCATCTTCATCCATCATCCATCCATCCATCAACTCATCCATCCATCATCATCGTCATCCATCCATCCATCTTCATCCATCCATCATCATTCATCCATCATCATCATCGTCATCCATCCATCCATCAACTCATCCATCATCATCATCATCATCATCATCCATCATCATCATTGTGATCACCATCATCCATCATTATCGTTAGCAGCCATCATCATCATCATCATCGTGATCGTCGTCATCATCGCCATCGTCCGTCATCGTTGTTACATCCATCATCGTCATCGTCATTGTCGTCACCCATCGTCATCGTGATCGTTGTGATCATCGTGAGGATGATCATCATCCATCATCATCATCATCATCCATCATCATCATCATCATCATCATCATCATCCATCATCATCGTCATCGTCATTGTCGTCACCCATCGTCATCGTGATCGTTGTGATCATCGTGAGGATGATCATCATCCATCATCATCATCCATCCATCATCATCATCATCATCCATCATCATCATCCATCATCCATCCATCTTCATCCATCCATCATCATCCATCCATCCATCTTCATCCATCCATCATCCATCCATCATCCATCATCATCATCATCCGTCTCCATCCATCCATCTTCATCCATCCATCATCCATCCTTCTTCATCCATCCACCCATCCATCATCATCATCATCCATCCATCCATCTCCATCCATCCACCTTCACCCATCCCACCCTCCCTCCACCCCTTCACCCCTCCACCTCCTCCCCACCCTTCCATCCCCTCCCCACACACCCCCCTTTCCCCCTCCCTTCCCCCCTCCCTCCCTTTCCCCCTCCCTTCCCCCCTCCCTCCCTTCCCCCCTCCCTCCTTTTCCCCCTCCCTCCCTTTCTCCCTCCCTCCCTCTCCCTCTCCATCTCCCCTCCATTCCCCTCTCCCTCCTTTCCCCCTCCCTCCCTCTCCCCCCCTTTCCCTTTCCCTCCCTTCCCCTCTCCCTCCCTTCCCCTCTCCCTCCCTTTCCCCTCCCTCCCTCTCCCTCTCCCTCCCTTTCCCTCTCCCTCCCTTCCTTCCTCCCTTCCCCTCTCCCTCCCCGTCCCCGTCTCCATCCCTTTCCCCTTTCACTCCTTTCCCTCTCCTCCCTTTCCCCCCTCCCTCCTGCTCCCCTATCCCCTCCCCGTCCTCCCCCTCCCTCCCTTTCCCCTCTTTCCTCTCCCATCCCTTTACCTCTCCCTCCCTTTTCCCCTCTCCCTCTCCCTCCACTCCCTCCCTCTCCGCTCTCCCTCCCGTCCAACCCCTCCTCCCTTCCTTCTCCCCTTTCCTTCTCCTCTTTCCCCCGCCCTCCCTCCTCCCTCTCCTCCCTTCCCCGCTCCCTACCTTTCCTTCTCGCCTCCATTTCCCTCCCCCTCCCGCCCAGCCTCCCTGCCCGTCTTCCCGCTCCCACCCTTCCCCTCTTCCCTCCCTCGCCCCCTCCGCCTTACCCCCTCCCGCACTCTCCCTGTCCTGCCTTCCCCTCCTCCCTCCCTCTCCCTCTCCCTCCCTTCCCCTCTCCTCTCCCCCTCCCTCCGTCTCCCTCTCCCTCCCGCCCGTCCCGCGCCTGCCGGGCCCTCACTTGGTGAAGTTGGCCAGGTTCTGGATGACCTTGGCGATGAGGGTGAGGGTCCTGGCCGTCTGCTCGTCGGGGTACTCCTGCATGAGGCCGAAGAGGCTGGGGGACATCACGGCGGGGCACAGGAAGCGCAGGAAGAGCGAGGCGCTGATCAGGCGGTCGGCGATGTCCTCGCGCCCGCGCTCGGCGCAGCGCAGCCGCCACGAGGCGAACACCTCCTTCAGCTCCCGCGGGAACACGCTGCGGGGACGCACGGTCAGCGAGCGGCTCCGGACACCGCCCGGACAGCGGTCGGACAGCGCTCGGACACCGGTCGGACACCGCTCGGACACCGCTCGGACACCGTCCGGACACCGCTCAGACACCGGTCGGACACCGCTTGGACACCGCTCGGACACCGCTCGGACACCGCTCGGACACCGGTCGGACACCACTCGGACACCGCCCGGACACCGCTCGGACACCGGTCGGACACCGCTCGGACACCGCCCGGACACCGCTCGGACACCGGTCGGACACCGCTCGGACACCGGTCGGACACCACTCGGACACCACCCAGACACCGCTCAGACACCACTCGGACACCGCTCGGACACCGCCCGGACACCGCCTGGACACCGGTCGGACACCGCTCAGACACCGCTCAGACACCGCTCAGACACCACCCGGCCACCAGTCGGACACCGCTCGGACACCGCTCGGACACTGCCCGGCCACCGGTCGGACACCGCTCGGACACCGGTCGGACACCGCCCGGACACCGCTCGGACACCGCTCGGACACCGGTCGGACGCCACCCGGACACCGCTCGGACACCGCCCGGACACCGCCCGGACACCGCTCGGACACCACCCGGACACCGGTCGGACACCGCTCGGACACCGCTCGGACACCGCCCGGCCACCGGTCGGACACCGCTCGGACACTGCCCGGACACCGCCCGGACACCGCTCGGACACCGCTCGGACACCGTCCGGACACCGCTCAGACACCGGTCGGACACCGCTCGGACACCGCTCGGACACTGCCCGGCCACCGCTTGGACACCGGTCAGACACCACTCGGACACCGGTCGGACACCGGTCGGACACCGGTCGGACACCGCTCGGACACCG